TTGCTGTTGGCTGATAAGAAGGCTGAAGATATATTACTAATTGCGAATCAAGAGATTCAGAAACTGTATGCATGGTATTGTTTTAATAAGTAATTGTTGAACGTTCAAAAGACCAAATGTGTTATTTTTCGCTCCAAGGGTAAAAAGCTTCCAGATGGCATTACTTTTCTTAATGTTGGAGGCCATGATGTTACGCTTAGTGAAAATGTTCAGTTCTTAGGGTTAACCATGGATGAGCATTTATCTTGAAGAAATCATTTAGATGCTGTATGCACAAAGTTGTCCCGTAGTGTAGGTGTCATTTTTAGATTAAAATTTATTTTACCTGAAAGAGTGCTGATAACATTATATAATAGTATTATTCTTCCTTATTTGACATATTGTAATGTTGCTTGGGGAAACACTTTTAAGTCATATCTTGATAAGTTGAGAGTATGGCAGAAGAAGGCAATACGGCTTATTACTAATTCTTATTATAGACATCCAAGTTCTCCATTGTTCCTTCGACTTAGAATGTTACCATTAAGCAGGGAGGTGAAAGAAAAGGAGGCGAAACTCTTGTAATTTATTCAAACGCATTCTTGAGTTCTAAAGCGTAACAATGTTATGTGTAACATTCCACTTGGCTTTGAAGTTCCATGCTCCGAACCGCACTTCCACTGCGGGGACTTTCGGAAGCCAGGCACCAGTTTTGCATTTATTACAAAATATTAAATTACCGGCAAAATTTCAGTGTAAATCAAAAACTTTATATGGGGATTTTATTGGGAATAGTGCATCAAACAAATTTTCAAATTTAGAACTCCGTCCTTCCTTTAATTTGTGTGCCAGAGTTGGTAAAAGAAAAATTACATCCTGTCAAAAACTCAATATTTTAGGATGATGCGCTAATTTGTGCATGCTTTAATGTCCCGTTATTTGATCCATGATTTACAATCTTCAATAACATTAAGTTTGCTAATGCGTGTTTTCGCGTGTTTTTTTGTATTTTTCAAGTTTAAAAAAGGATGAAAGTACACAAGTTTGTGTTCGCTTGTTCTACTCTTTACACATTCAACAATGGATGAGAAATCATTGGAAGGGACAGCAAACAGTTGCAGTGATACCATTGTCTGATGTAGGAATTCTAACTCCTGAAATTTCATGCGCTCTTTTATCTCACCACCTGGTCAACAGTTGCAGATTAGCGCATAACTTTTCGGCGGCTTGGAGCATGGGGTCAAAGGAGAGCGGCTTGATTCCAGTCCTTCTCTATCACGTCCCTGCACTAAGTGGACTTGTGTCGTTCAATTGCATATTGTTTATGTTTAATCTTAAGTCTATGCCTCATGAATGTACTTTAAAAGATTTATTCCGTCAGAACTCGCAAATTCATAATTATAATACACGTCAAAGGTGTCTTATTCGACAGCCTTTTGCAAGAATGGAACAATCTGCCTGATGATATAAAAAATAGTACAACTCTTTCTAGGTTTAGAAGTTTATCTAAAACGTACCTGCTTGAAAGACTGACATAGTTTTTATTTGCATCTTAGTAATTTCTTATTCTGAAATGCTTTTTGACCACTAAGGACCTACTCGTCGGTGTGTTTGCTGTGTATGGGCGTGTGTGTGTGTGTGTGTGTGTGTAAGAGAGTATTTGTATGTTCTATATTCTGTAGCTTAGTATTTTCATCCATTATATAATCATACGTAACATTCTTTTTACTGTAAATGTATGTATTTTGTTGACTACAGGGCCCCGCTCACAAGCTTAGCTTCTAAAGGCGTCCTAAAACCATTCAGTTTATGATGTAATCAAGTTAGAATATGTTGATTGATGTACTATTACCAGTCTCTTTTTTATGTAACAGATTATATCATGCTTTGTATGGTTTTGAATAAAATGAACTGAACTGAGTCTCGGCCCCCTGGACCTCACGCCAATTAGTGTCCTGCCAGTGTCACAAAGGTATCAAAATATACTCATCTGACAGTAATTTATTATCCCAAACCCCTGAGCTTCCAAGGGCTCCGCCCCCTGGACCAAACGCCAATTCGTGACCTGCCAGTGTCACCTTTAAGGTATAAAATATGCTCATCTGATGATAATAAAACCCCTGGACCCAACACCAATTTGTGTCCTGCCAGTGTCACAAATAAGGTACAAAAATATGCTCATCTGACCGTTATTTATTGCCTTAAACCCCTGAGCTTACGGAGCTCCGCCCCTTGGACCCCACGCCAATTCGTGACCTGCCAGTGTCACAAATAAGGTATAAAAGTATGCTCATCCGACGATAATTTGATGTATAAAACCCCTCAGCTTCTGAGGTCTCCGCCCCCCTGGGAAAAAAACCCCGTTAATTTTACCTGATAATATGATCTGCTTGTTAACTTTAATATTTATCATCAGGCTATTAAAAGTATACTTCTTCAAACAAAATACAACTTTTGATACGAGGAATGCAGTGATGAAGGTATCGCAGTAGGAAGTAGAGGCTAGATTCGGTCGGTCACACCGAATCCCGACCGTCGCCAGCGGGTCCCGGTTTCGCTTTTTGGAAGCCGATGCTCCGATAAAAATAATTAAATATATAAGATATTGCAGTATTGCACACCACAAAAATTAATCCATCTTAAAACTCTTAAGTATTTAATTTTTACCAATATGTTTTTCATACTCTAGCTCATCCTGAATCAATCCGAACTGCCAATATAAATATGGGTTGCAAAGCAATTCACTGTTCGCGGCATGCATGGGGTTGTTACCATGCGCAGCTGCGCAGCTAGCAAGCAAGCTAGCAACTGGTCGGGTCTCGACAGGATGAATAAATTAGGTTTAAAAAAACATTAATGTTGGAATTATAAAACGGCTTTCTAAAAAATTCTTCTTTACAACATACCGATCGAATATATTTTTAACACAAAATAAATATTTCCCACCTATTTTAAACACTGCATGCTTTTTTAATAGCTGAGAATAACTTAAAGTTGATATTCTAAGCAAATAAATGTCCCTTAATTTGGTACCTACGGCAAGCATATGTTATTTATAGGTCTTTCAATTACATAGCATATCACCAAAAAAATCTGGCTACTCGAAATCCTTAATTGAAATGTCGAAAATATCCGCCTCTCTTTGCGTAGAAAATCAGTCACGGCGCTGGTCTACTATATATGACATCACGTCCGGGAAAGAGTATATTCACGTACCCGGATGTTCCATAGCTAACATGTGCAGAGTGATACGATTTTCTGCTTATTTTTGTTTCAAAGGCTGAAAAGTCTAATAAATCATAATTCTATGTACAATTCTTTACCTTCCCCTAGTACTTCATAGTATTAATATCAATTCCCCTTTTAAAAATTATGACATATACATGCCAACGAAGTGCTATTAGTCGATATTTTCACCATGTAATTTTTGTTTTGGTGTTGAAATCGGCCCAGGCACGGAGTGAACAGTAGCTGTCTACCCATGCACAGTTCATTACCATACAGCGATCTCCCGATGGTTTCTTCTTCCTTTTCCCCATGTCTTTCGCCTTCCTTGGCCCTGAAGATCCTTCATCTACCAATTCTGACACCGGTAGTCAGGAGCAAGTCTTTGTTAGTTGTTTTTCTTAGCTGGGCAACGTCGCTTTCATTATCTTGCAATTGCCGATAAACATATAACTAGCGCACGTACGTTCCATCACAAGCAAGCAGCGCCTAGAGCAGCGGCTTGGTCTTACCTCCCGATTCTGCTCGCTTCACGAACGTTCATGCAAGAGCCGCATCACTAGCCAAAATATTATAGAGGAAGCGCGCTTGCATGATCTCGTTCAAGTTTGATATTTTACAACATAAAATGTTTAACTGGTACTGTAGGCCTATCCTTTTTTGAGGCAGTCACACTCATCTATGATAAGTGCTATCATAGTTCTAGACCTATTCGTTTTACAAAACTGCTCCTGTATCTTATCTGATGACAAGATAATGCATCCGCCTATTCATACGTGCACGATTTAACCTTGTTTCCTAAGCTGTAAACTCGTTTTAAATCTCTACCAAATAGGTGAATATGAGGATATAAAAAGAAATCAGCGACTGGAAAATGTTGCTTCGTTATTCTTCATTCAAATGAAAACAGAAAATCCATCAAATATACTCCTTAACAAGTACAAATCTAAGCTCTGACTAGATAGCATTTACGAAGGGATATCACTGCCATTCACTCTCACTGAGCCCATGAGTCCCGTTCGTGACGTCACGGATAGAGGCCCGACTCTACATGCACTTCCGGGTTTCAGACAGTTTGGTAGAGTTTACTCGCATAAAATCTAAACTTGTTTTTGTCAGTTGGACACCATTTAGTGTTATTCTGGGGGTTAAAAGCTTTCTATTGATGTAATTATCTCAATATTTGGGATTGTCTTAGAGTATCAACTTTAATAATCATAAAAAGTTTCGATACTGATAGCTGTTGCAAGGCAAGTTCGGACTAGTCACGGAAGGAATGTGCAATACACTTCATTAGCTGTTATGCGTCACTGTTACCGTCACCGTCACTCACTTTCCTTAGTCCAGACTGCTGCTTCTATCTTATGCATGCTCCACCGAGATCTCTGCATACGATGCAGTACATGATGACCCTTATTTCGCGCTGTGAAAGAAACTCGGCCGCCCCGATTGACAACTACCAAAACAATTCACAAAATCATCGTTATCTGCCCAATTACTGTATTTCTCGAATATGAACCCTGCGAGGCACAGCTTCTTGGCTGGTCCCAGCAATTCTTCCTAAGGGCGGGTTTCAGGAGGCGGGGGCAACACAATTTATGGCGTCGAAAACCCCCCAAATTGTTCACTATTATTAGATAGATATATATAGAGAATTGAAATCCTCTAAAGGATCTTCAATCCATCTGCTTTATGTACGTAATGTAGATATTTCTGAATAATATTTTCAGGCACTGTTGCCCACGATGTCATCACCATTTTCCAGAGGGCTACATTTCTGTCGAGTTCGAAGGACATCTTACACCATGGGTGGATTCTGCTTTCTCTACCTGCTCCTGATCCTCTTGATGAGATCTGGTGATGTTGAAACCAATCCAGGTCCTAACACTGCAGAAAGGTATGCATACTGGCTTACTTCGAGTCATTGGGTCATCGCGTCCGGTCGGGTGGTTGCGTTACACGACCTTGCATAAAACAAAAGATCATGTGAAGATGCACGTTCAGGATGCGATCTTAAGTAGATTTACTGAAAGGTTTTCACAAAGTGTCACGTAATTTGGACCAGACCATTTGAAGATGAGAAGGATTTGTTTCACAAACATATCCCCTGACATTTCATAAATAAATGGCATGTTAATTTTCACAAAAGGCCGGGTAACGCTACAACCTGACCCGACATGATGACCCGATGATTCAAAGTAAGCTAGCCTTTATACGAGTAACCTTTGTGGGTTAACAATAGAGTTCAGTTCTGGTCACGCGATTGCATTGCAAAAGAAACAGCTAACTAGTGTGGAAGTGATTCCAAAGGTTGATCATGCATGTAGCGCAACAGTATTGGTATATACTGTTTTGTTTTGGAGTCGTCAAAATTATTATTTGGCCCAGTCTTGCTAAAAGTCACATGAACTGGACACAGAAATGTGTATATATGACTACACAAACATGTGTCGTGAAAGTGTGGTCCACATCAAATTATTCGTCATATTTTGAGTATGAGGGCATTTGAAGAGCCATCTTTTTCAAGGAACTTTTTTCTATGATACTCTTCCACACCAACATAAACAGAATGAAAAGGCTCACAAATTATTTACACCTTTCCCAGAACTCGACTTTCTCTTTGTATGTGACACTTTAAGTTATCATGTGAATACAAAATATGCATATAGACTATGCAATGATGCAGATAATTATCATGATGATGAAGGTAATAATAATAATAATAATAATAATAATAAATAATAAAAATAGTAGTAGTAGTACTTATAGTAGTACTAGCAGTAGTAGTAGTAGTAGTAGTAGTAGTAGTAGTAGTATAGTAGTAGTAGAAGTTGTAGTATATTAGTAGAATCAAATAGTAATAATAATGATAGTATGTATAGTCAAACCTGTCTATAGCGACCGCCTAAGGGTAACACAAAAAGTGATCGTTGTAGACAGGTTGGCGTTGGCCGCAATTTTAAGCCGATCGATAAATCTAACAATGCAAGTTTCTTTCCCGGTGCTTAAAAATTAAATAAACAAAGAGTGGTACAGTTTTTAGTCAAAATAAAAATACTAAATGATTTAACATATTTTTATTTCTTGAAATTGTCCAGCATATCAAACTATATTTGAAATGAATAGAATGAACGAGCCTGAATAATTAACTGACAGACAGCGCGCCGCCCACTCGCCTCTCACAGGCGATTTGAGATTGAGATTGAAAAGGTTTTATTGATTGCACTTCGCAGCCAGATGGCTGAATTATGAACAATTTACATTGGCAATGAATTATAATACATACAAATGTGGTTGAAAAGTATAATATACAGTATATAACAAAATTCATAACAAAGTTCATAACTAATATGACTAAGGCAATAACAGGCAAATTAATTCACGTTTAAAATATATTTTGTGAGGTGACAAAAGAGTAGGTCAAAGGATGAGCAAGCAGGCCCTTTGCTCTTCAATACACGCTCTCATTCCTATACACGCTCCTATTCTCACTCCTGTACCTTGGACACTCTCATAAACCCTCACATTTACACTCTTATACACACTCCAATTCACACTCCCATACACTAGCTAAAGGTCTACTCGCTCATCCCTGGACCTCTCGTGTCAAGCAGTGTCGGGTATTTAAAAAAAAATAAACAGGCCAGTGCGAAAACTAGTGAGGCATCGATCGCGAAGTTCATGAGAATGCCGCTGTATTGCTAAGTATTCAATAGGCGATTATCATTATTATTAATATTAGAACTAGTAGTAATCTTTTTCTTATTGATATTATCATTACTATCTAACCATAATTGTATGTACTGCCAGATTCTGCTTTAGGCAGAATGATTACCTTTGCGAGAACAATACCGCACTCACCTGTAATTTGGGGCAGTATGTTTCAAATGTTAATATCACAGGCAATATATTCTGATATCCCCAGCTTGTTAAATTGCACGCTCGAGCACGTAATGCAAATTGTTGAGTGTCACATAAAAGCTTGTCAGCCAATAGGATGCTCTCCAACTAAAATACTATCATACCCAATTGATTTATTGTTCATTTTACAGTACTGTCAGTGAAATGGAGTTCCTGAAGCTGGCCCAGGATATCGATCCATCTTACTACTACAATGTAGGGATATCTCTAGGGTTCTCCCATGCTCAGCTTAAGGCAAACCTGATTGAGAATTCGAAGAACTTCAAAGATGCCTTTATGGATGTCTTTATGAAATGGAATGTCAAGCAGCAACCTCCACACTCAAACAAACGACAGCTTTTGGCAGACAAACTACAAGAGATTGACTTGGGTGGCCTATCAGACGGATTACTTGATGGACCTCCATTTCCAAAGATCACAGGTAAACAGACTCTAAGTATTGCTACACCAGAAGACATAGAAAACCATTCATAAAAGCGAAGTCAATTTTTACCATTTAGATAGTGATCGTGCTCTGTGTTCTAAACATTTGCCTCTGTTTACAGAAGTGTCCAATTTCATCAGGCCCCATGCATGTTTTAAAAATTTACTAATTAAACTTTAATAATCTTAGATATTTTCTGGACCCCAAAATAGTACAAGCACTTTGAGTGACAGCAGCATTTAATGTGTGTCAGCTTTCGTTATGTGCACATGTTCTACAAACAAATTATATTATTTCGGGTCATTCCATAATGATAACTGTAATTATGCATCTGCTCACGGAATTTAATGTAGGACAAAATATGTTTTCGGGTTGTATGTCCATTCATCCTACGTGTTTGCTATTGCGATATCTTAAGAACCACTTGAGGTATGAAATTCACACTTGTTGATAATATGTATCACCATAAGAAGATAATCTTCGATTAGATTTGGGTGTAAGTGGGTCATAGAGGTAAACTTAAGAAATTACAGGTTTTAGCCTCATGATATGTCAAGAACCATTTGAGGTATGAACTTCAAACTTGGTGTTATCATGCATCACCAAAGCAAGATGAAGTGATTATATTTCGGGATAGGAAGGTCAAAGGCCAAAGGCCATGAGGGTCAAAAAAAAATTCAGAGTTTTAGCCCCATTATTGCAATGTCTCAAGAATGGTTTGAGCCATGTGGTGTTGGTATGCATCCCCATATTGAGACAAACTGATTATATTTGGGTTAACTTAAGAGGGTCAATTACTAACTACATATGGTTTGCGTCACCATAGGGAGAAAAGTGATCAGATGTTGATTTTTTAGGTCAAAGGTCAAGGGTTGGAAAGGTATTTCAATCAACATGTAATTATATACATATATATATATATATATATATATATACATGTAGAGAGAGAGGCTTTTTGCTCTCATTGTAATATTAAGAGATTGATTCTAGCCCTGATCTTAACTGAATTTAGGCAGAGGAATACTGGAGACGCAATCACATTTGTCTTGTTTTTTCCTTCAAAATAAGATGTGTGATTGTCAGGGAAACTCTGTATTGCTGAAATGTCGTAGGAAAAATTATGCCATTGATATTCATCTACTAGTTCCTGAATACAATAATTACTCAGATTTTAAATGTCCTTAAAATTGAATGTAGTCATATAAATTCAGACAAACGTGTAGGACTCCTTGAGTACATGCACCTAGTCGTACATTGTAGGTCACACTATTAGCCTCGGGCCTTTTCAACCATTTCAGATGTACATATGATCAAACTATGTTTATCTATACCAAGCGAATGTGGATTATCTATTAATTTTTAGGAGGGCCATCAAGACCATCAGAATCACAGTCCAAACAACTTTCTCCTGAACTGGTTGAGCAGTGTGCAAATGATTTCAAGTTCAATTACAGGTCAACTCTCTGTAAGATCAGAGCTGATCCTCTCAAGCCTTCTTCACTTGTGGGTTTTGAAAAACTACACACAAATCTTGTATTGGAAGAAGAGGATGGAACTGGCAAGCAAATAATAGATTACAACAATTTTATTGATCTCAAAGTCAATGGAGAGTTCCCCAAGCGGATCTTGGTTCAGGGAGAGGCAGGGGCTGGAAAAACTACATTTTGTGCTAAGATTGCCTGGGACTGGATTGAAGGGAGGCATTTCAGTCACTTTGTGTGGGTCTTGATCGTTCCTCTACGTAAATTTAAGCAACACACTATTGGCGAGATTGCAAAGTCTTATCTGGCCAAAAACAATCCAGCAAAGGTTTCTCAGATAACTGAGTATATCCGGTCAAATCCTAACAAGGTATTTATCGCATTAGATGGGCTAGACGAATTAAGTGGCAAATTCATGAAGACAAAATCTTGCGAATCACAACCTTCTTATCATATGCAACCTCAGCCATCACAGCAAAGTGTCACCCTCTCAGAGGCATGTCGAAGCTCATCTGAGACTGATGACATTGGACTTGAAGATATTCTTTGTTCAGATCAACTTGCCTCTTGCCCAGTCTTGGTGACCACTCGCCCATGGAGAGCAGTAGAGATTAGATCAGATGGTGATCTAATGAAGCTCTACACATTCATTCATGTTGAGGGTTTCAACAGAGAGAATTTGTCAGTTTACATTCACAAATACTTTCCAAAGGATGAGGATAAAGCAAATCGGCTTATCCAGTTCATCAGTGAGAATGATGTCATATCTGAAAACATGGCCCACTTTCCTATATATGTAGCCATGTTGTGTCTTATGTGGAAAGAACGTGACAAGCAAAAACTAAAGGAAATGAAATCATTGAAAACCTTTTCTCAGATTTTCAAAGAAATGATTGCCTTTCTAAAAGAACATTATGCTCAGAAAGAGGTGAATAAAGTAGGCAGCTCGTCACTTATTGCCTATTTGAAAGATATTGAGGAGCTCCTTGGACCTATTGCCAAACAGGCCCTCAATGGTCTGCTAGAAAATACATTGGTTTTCGGTGAAGATGATTTCGAAGTATGCCCAGAATCCAAGGACACTGCTTGCAGGGTCGGGATTTTGTCTCAGGAGGACAGAATTACTGCTGACACGGATACACATGAGAGGAATTCTCATGTGCAATTGCCAGTTTTCTTCCCTCACAAACTGTTTCAGGAGTACATGGCTGGAGTCCATCTTGCTTCCCTATATGAGTCAGATCGTGATGAATTCAACAGGCTGATTGATCAAATAGTGCTGCCAAAGGAGGAGGAGTTTAAGTATCTCCTGTACTTCACTGTGTCACAGAACAAAAGTATTGCAACCTATGTAATTAACTCTATGCTTCAAGAACTATCGGTAAAGGCTTCTAAGATAGAGATAGATTTCATTGTTGATGTAGCTTTTGAGAGTCAGGACCCAGATGTTGCAGCCTTGGTGAAGGACAGGGTTTCTTCATTGAATATTGAGGTGGCCATATCCCCATACACGACAGCACACACTGTAGCTGGTTATGCTTTCATTGGACCACATGTGGTAAGTTTAATCATAGTTTGATAAACATGATAGTTCAACCATTTTGGTACAAGTTCTTACTTTTATACCTTTTGCACTTTTCTTACAGTACAACAGTATACTTATGGCAGGGTGCATCTCGACTAGCACATGTGCTTTTATTTTCCCCTTTTTACCAACCAGTAGTTTCTGTTCTCAGTATATAAATATCATTGTAGAAATGTATTACTGCATTGCTGTTGGAAAAGAACTCAAATCAAAGAGGTTTGAACAGTAATAATTTGGAAACTAGAACTGCAATCGTAGAATGAAATGCATGCATTGATGCCCATATTTCTATTTTTAAGCAGATGAATGATCCTATGTACACACGCTCGGCAAGGCACATGTCATTACGCACGTATGGTTTTCCATATAATTTGGCGTATACGACCTTGTATGCTAACATACTAATACGTGACGCATATAGTGCAGGGTATGAAATGGCATCTAAAACGTCCCGCTTGACAGATTTTCAAAATGAGACAATGAGATGCCCTGAGTTTGGCCCCCAGAATATACTTGCAAAATTCCAAGATAAAAAATAAATAAAAAAGGGGACAAAATCAATCTGAAAATTGATGTTATAGCCAATGTTACAGTTGGGCAGAAACCCTGCGTAATCTGATTTGTGCCCTGTTACAATTTCGATTTACTCAAAATTTTCTGAGTGGACATACATGTATACTGTTTATGGTATCATTTGAAGCCGCATTTCATTACAGTCATTTTGACCCCATTGTCATCCATGCTATTAGCGTGGATGACAATTAAATGTACTAGAAGCATGTCACACATTGTAATGTTATGCATAGCAAATTGAGCATTTTTTTACAATAACCTTGTAATGATCAACGTCAAGAAATGTTACCAAACTTGGCAGGCAGTTGTGAAGAAGGTTGATACACATGTCTGCTATAAAGTTTCATAGACCTAGTACGGTTTTTGAGAGCAATTTCTCGCGCAGTCGGTCAATAGTGAGGTGCATCTGTTTTCTTTCTTTCTTTTTCTTTTTTTTTTTTTTACTGAAAAAGGGATATCTTGAAGTATCTAAATCCGAATATGACATAGCTATTGCCACATAAACACATCCATTTTCAAAACTTTAGAGGGTGCTATTCATATCATAAGTAACCATTGATCTGTGAAATTCGGCCGAAACGTGGGCAATGCAAAGATAAAGATGCTGTAAAAAATTTGGACCGAATGGAATTGATATGTCAAAGTTATGGCAATTTGTCTTTTTCATTGGTCAATATTTAAAGAATTTCATCAATTCTTGAAAGAGTTGGTTTTGGAGTTAAATTTAGAGTATGAAGATGGCATTTTGAGGAGCCTTTTGTATGACAAAGATAAAAAAAAACACTTTTGCACTATCTAGAGTAACTTGTTAGAAGTCTGTAGCATCTAGGATAGTGGAGGTAGGTAGGCCAAAAGAAAGGTATATGAAAACAGAGATGTGTAAATGCTGCCCTCTTACTCTCTGTAGTACGTTCTAGCAGCATATCTAGGGCAACCTCTCATGTAGGTAACACATCTATGTCTAACATCCAAGTGAACATCTATATTCTGCATTAAACCAGTAATCACTTTTTCATTTTATCCAGGTTGAACTCGGTAGAGAGAGAGATTGTGGACCTACCATGTCACTTGATGTGGCAGACATAATATCATGCTCCATGCCATCCTTGAAGAAAGCTTCTCTATCAGGTGCATTCCATCAGTGTTTTTTTGAAACACTTGCAAGGAAAGAAAGAGAATCAAAGGTGAGCAGTTCATCCACAATTGTGATGCATGTATGAGTGACTAATTTAATTTCATCCCATTACCCCCTCTTCCCTTTTCTAATCTACATTTTACTTTTCTTTAATTCTTTTAAATGTCTCATATATGCTGGTTCTTTTGACAGAAGGATCAATGGTCTTTTCACACTTTTCACAGGCGGCAGCAGTGTTAACAAAAGCATTTAAGTGTGAATGCTAACCGTGGAAACCTTGAGGGTGGGCGGGGAGCACCATGTAAACAGTCGTATGCTTGTACAACCTGAATGCTCTAAAAGAAACTCACATGTAGGAAGATCGCAACATACTTAAAGGGGAAGTCAACCCTGATATTAAGTTTGTTTTAATAAAAGCAGAAAAATAAGAGAAACAAATAAATGAAAGTTTGAGCAATATCTGATTAAAGATACAAAAGTTGTTACAAGGAAGTTTTGAAGCAAGAATTAAAGAAATTATTTATCGAATGATTATTTCTAGAAGTGGAATGGACTAAGTGCCCTTGTAAAAAATTACCATGGCAACCATGGTTCTTTGTCCAAATTACCATCCACCATTCGAACCATGGTAAACATGGTATCAAACAATAAAATTACCATAGTTTGATATCATGTTATTAAGTTTGTTTTAATAAAAGCAGAAAAATAAGATAAACAAAAATAATTGAAAGTTTGAGCAATATCCGATTAACGATACAAAAGTTGTTACAAGGAAGTTTTGAAGCAAGAATTAAAAAAATTATTTATCGAATGAAGTGGAGTGGACTAAGTGCCCTTATAAAAAAGTACCATGGCAACCATGGTTCTTTGTCCAAATTACCATCCACCATTCGAACAATGGTATCAAACAATGAAATTACCATGGTTCGAATGGTGGATGGTGATTTTTTTTTGATTTTTTTTAAATATATATAATAGCTTAAAACAGAGCGAATTTATTTTCCATTTCTTTTTCACATAATATAAACAATAAAAAACAATAATAAACGTAATGGTATAACAGAAATAAGCATTGAAATATCTTTGACATTGTTTTTTAGTCATAGTAATGCAAAATGATTTAATTACAAGAATTGAAAAAAACGAACCTACTTGAAAGCAAAGCTTGTTAGATGTAGGTTCGCACAATAATAATTATACTTTATACATTTGTAACTTTAAAAAAATTACGGAATCAAAAAAACATGACAGACAATAGAAAAACAAACAATTAACGAGACAAAAACAAATCAGAAACATTAGCAGAATGACAAGATGATGATGATAAATGAAGACTATAGGAATGAGAGAGTAAAAAACAGAAAAGGGGGAAGACATGCAGGAAGATAAAAAGAAGACAGAGAGGGGTTGAGGGAGACAGAGAAAGAGACAGAGAGGAAGAGGGGAACTACTTATTCTGATTCGTTTGCAACAAAAAGTGCTTGACGGCATTTTTGAAACCACTTAATAAGGGCTTTTCTTGTAATGTGCCAGGAAGGGCATTCCAATATTTTGGGCCAGTGAAAGTGAAAATCCTGCTGGAAAATTGCGTTCTTGTCTTTGGTAGGTGATAACATTTTGCTTTTCTCGTGGGGTAACTATAAAATTCAGTATTTTTGTTCAACATATTTGAGAGAACTTGTGGCAATTCATTTTTTCTAGTGTATACATAAATATACCCAAGTTGTAGAAAAATAAGTCATGAATCTTCAAAACATTATTTGCGTGAGAGAGTTCCTTAGTATGAGCGTGAAAATTAGTGTGACAAATGATTCGCATTGCTTTCTTTTTCAATAGTAAAATTCTATTTAATTGAGTATTTCCACAGGTGCCCCACGCAAGTATTCCATAATTCAAGTAAGGAAGTACTAAAGTTGAGTATAAATTAGGCAGTATACGAGATGGAAAAAACAATTTTACCTTGTTCAAAATACCAATATTTCTAGAGATGATTTTACAAACATCAACATGCAGCTTCCATTTACGTTTATCATCTACTATTATTCCCAGGAACTTCGTAGAAGAGACTTTTTGTATGACAGTATTATCAAGTACAATATTTTCTGGTAAATTATCAATAATATTACTAAAAAGCATATCATTGGTTTTTAGTAAATTCAATGACAATTTATTTGCCTTGATCCAGTCAGCAACTTCTCGTAATTGAGAGTTAACCGTTCTCAGTAAAATTTCTGGGTCTTTGTGAGAAAAGAAAATGTTAGAGTCGTCAGCAAACAAGAGAAAAGACAGGGTTGTTGAAGACATGTAAAAATCATTTATATAAACAATAAAAAGTAACGGATCTAAAATAGAACCTTGAGACACGCCACATTCAATAGTCTTTATAGAAGAATGTGCATCGTATATGAGAACGTATTGGTTTCTATTGTGGAGGTAGTTCTTTAACCACTCTAAGGGTAATCCTCTGATTCCGTAGTTAGAAAGTTTGTAAAGAAGTATTTCATGATTAATCATATCAAACGCCTTAGAGAAGTACAAGAAAGCCCCCACCGTATGTTCGAAATTGTCAATAGAGCGAGCCATCTTATTTATTAGAGTCAAAAGGGCATGTGTTGTACTATGCTTTTCACGGAAGCCAAACTGTGCCTGATAGAAAATATTACTAGCACAAAAGAATTTTACAGTACGAAAAAAAAATACAATTTTTTTCAAGAAATTTAGATACGGATGTCAGCAAGGAAATAGGCCTGTAGTTTCTTAACTCTAAAGGATCTCCTTTCTTGAAGACAGGAACAACTTTTGCCAATTTCATCGATTGAGGCACCACCCCAGTTGTAGGCGATAGATTGAAAATATAAATTAAAGGTTGGACAATATCAAGGGTTATTTTTTTCAGGAGATAATTGCTTATTTCATCATGTCCAGAACTCCGCTTATTTTTCAATCCGTTAATTATGTTTATAATTTCACTTTCAAGAACTGGTGTGAAATATATAGAAAGTGAATTTGGGGTTCCAAGAAAGTCAGTGAAATGCTTATTTGAGTCTGGTATTTTTTGAGCAAGGTTGAGACCAATATTTGAAAAACAATCATTAAAATATTACGGGATTAGTTCGGTATTATCAATAACTTCATTATTAACTTTAATCTTTTTAATTGTGGAAGACTTGCTTTTCCCGTGTATAACACTTTTGATAACCTTCCAAGTATTTTTTAGGTCATTTTTATACAGTTCAAACTGTTTACAAAAATATTTTTGTTTAGCTTTCCTCAAGGTAGTAACCAATATGTTCTTATATTCCGTATATTTTACCTTATCTTTATCCAATAGCTTAAATGTATACTTTAAATATAAATTGTTTTTTTCGATTTATGGAACGTAAAAGAGCTTTCGTTACCCAGGGATTCCTAAGAGTCTTTTTGTAACTAAGTTTGTTATTACTAGCTGGAAAACAAATATCAAAAGCATCTTTTAAAAGATCCATAAAAGTGTCTAAAGATTGATTAACATTATCAATTTGATATATCACCGACCAGTCAGTAGTTCCGAGTATTTGTCCAAACCTAACAATATTTTCTTCAGAAAAATCACGTTTTTTAACTTCGACATTGGGATGCATCAGCGAATTTTTTTCAATTGGAAATTGAGTAAAAATGGGGAAATGGTCTGAGATTTCAGACAAGATTATACCTGATTTTGGAGAAAAAAATTAGCATTTGTTAAAATATTATCAATAAGAGTAGCAGTGTTTTCTGTAACCCTCGTTGGCTTAGTTATAAGTGGTAGTAAACTAGCTGTAAGGAGGGTGTCGCCAAAATTTTGGACAAATGTATCAGTGGCGTTGTTCAATAAATTTATGTTATAATCTCCTAAAAGAAAACGTTTTATTTAACATTAATGGATGCAGTAATAATTCATGGAAAACACGAGAGAAATCGTCTTGGCTCGAATTAGGAGGTCTATAAATTGTTCCTATTATAATGTTTTTATTGTTTGGCACAATGACTTCAACAAATACCGTCTCAATGAAATTTTCCATCCGATTTAATTCTGGTTGTAGCTTATATTCATATTCTTGAGACATATACATGGCGACACCACCTCCGGACCGCTCTAATCTATTATTTGTAATAATATCATAACCTGGTAGTGAGCATAAGGAAGAAGATATGTCGTCAACAAACCAAGTGTCGGTCACACCAATCGCAGAAAAAACGTTGTTTTGTAGTAAATAATAAGGCTCGTAGATCATCGAAATTTTTAGTTGCACTGCGAATATTGAGGTGTATCAGTGAAAATCATCGTCGTCTCGACTGTGGGCTATTGCTTTTCCCTGTGAGTGGGGCATTACTTGAAATCACGACTCCAATTTCGACCAATCAGATGGCTAGATTTCTAAAGTGAGGTATATAATAACAATTAATCCATCCCTGGCTCTGTGTATACTTACTCATTGATTTCCACATAAAGGTGAAAATACTCTTTTAAATTTTGTTGTGATAACCATCGGTTCTTATTGTTACTTCTCTTGCTTGCCCTATGTAATGATTTGTCAAGTATTCCTGTTTATTTTTTTAAAATTTGCTTCTACCCCCTTCTCTCTCTCATGATGTTATTTCGATACTTGATTATTATTTGGATGAGACCATGAATTCACTCTCTATTTGTCTTGCACTTGAATTTGTTTTAAAGAGAAGGTTTATTGAAATTTGAAAAATAGGCAAATTATACCTCTCTTTTGTTCTGTCCATATTAATTCTATACAGCCTATATCCTATTTCATATTGTATATTTCTGCATGGCATTCACCAACAACAAAAATCAACAAAAATACAACATAATTATAACTGTATTGCAAAATTGATTCATGCAGAAATTTTATTTGAATAATCATATACAAATACATCAACAAATTACGGACCACCCTTTAACCCTTACTGTACTACGCTACTTTGGGCACCTTCCTGACTCGATTGGGGGGGGGGGGGGGGGCCTTTGATCTCGGCCGTCGAATGTCCGATGAACACAACAATTCCCATGTTTGTTTT